ATTCCTGCGTGAGCCATGCGGAAGCGCTGCCACAGCGACTTGTGCAAGGAGGTCTGCAGATGAGCCCGGAGGACGCAGTGGGCTAGAGAGAGGGAGTTAGCATAGCGATAGGGTAGATGCAGCGACAGCTGCCATAGCTGTAGTTAGTAGTAAGTGTGTGTGTGTTCGAGTGTTAGAGTGAAGCGTATGGGATATCCAGGGTGATCCAGTGTATGTGAACAGTGAGATGTTTGGGCGCTGAAGTCGCCATAGCCAATTGAGAGTGAACTCGTATCTGAAAGCCATATCTCTGAGTTCTGAGTGGGCGCATGTCGCCAGTATGCTGCGTTAATGTTTACATGTGTGAAAAGTGTGTTTGAAAACGAGTCTGATTGCAAAGAAGAAGAAGAAGAAGAAGAAGAAGAAGAAGAAGAAGAAGAAGAAGAGAAGAAGAAGAAGAAGAAGAGGAGGAGGAGAGGAGGAAGAAGACGATGAAGAAGAAGAAGCGACGGAGGAGAGGACGAAGAGGAGGAGGAAGACCAAGAATTTGAAGACGAAGAAGAAGACGCAGAGGAAGAAGCGAAAGAGGAAGAGAAGAAGAAGACAAAGCGAGGGAGAAGAAGAAGAAGAAGAAGAAGAAGAAGAAGAAGAAGAAGAAGAAGAAGAAGAAGAAGAAGAAGAAGAAGATCTCTCTCTCTCTCTCTCTCTCTCTCTCTCTCTCTCTCTCTCTCTCTCTCACTAACGCACTCACCGTGGCGCKCGTCGGGGGGCGTCGGGCGGCGTAGGCTGGGCCGGCGCGATGGCGTTCTTCGGCGGGCGTCGGGGGGGGGAGGGGCGTCGACTTCGATGGCGGGCGCTGGCTTCGACAACGAACGCTGGCTTCTACGCTGGCGTCGACTTCGTTGGCGGGAAACAAGATCCAGCAGACCAAAAAAAAGGGCTGGTAGGCCCCGTTTGAACGAGTTCAAATGGCCGCTCATCTGGGCCGTCGATCCTCAAGATCGACAGCCCAGATGAGTGGGCATTTGAACTCGTTAAAACGGGGCCTACCTGCCCTTTTGTTTGTTTGTTTTTTCACATCCACGGCTTCCTTGGGGGGGGAGAAGGCCCCCCGCAAAGAACCCCCCCCCCTCTATGATGCGCTGGGGTCGCCCGGTGGCCAACCGGGCGGGACGACCGGCCAGGCGGCCCGGCCCCCCGCCCGGACGACGAGCCGGGCGCCGGGCGGCCCGGAGTGCAGCCTAGCTTTTAAATTTTAATTTTAAAATTGGTAAGGAATTTCGATGCGACCCTGAGGCAAAAGTTGTTCAGGTTCTGCATAACATAGTTTTTTTTTTCAGATTTTTTTATATGTATATATTTTTTTGCTGGGACCTCCTTTGGCCCTTGCACGGCCGGGCCGCCCGGGCAAACAAGATGACGCGGGCGGCCTGGATACTCTGTGCATGGCCGCTGTTTTAGCAGTGCCATTGCACAGGATTCAACAAACAACAGAATGCTGCTCTGTGTGCAGCTGCTGCCGTTGTCCCCCTCACAAAAGTCCGTGGGGAGTGGAGCTGCTGGATTCCATTTTTGTGTGATAGCTTTTGCATCCTGTGCTGTATTCCATTTTCAGTCTGGTGCAAATAGACGATGACCACATGCAGGGGAGGGCAGTGGTATGGAGGTGTTCCTGCATTACAGGGGGAGCATATGGAGATCAACACGACTGTACTACCTTCTTCACCCGTATACGACGTATGACCGTACGTTGTATTCGGGTGAAGAAGGTAGTGTATAGATTGATGATCTATGTGTGATGCTAACAACTGGATGGGAACGTTTTGCAGGTTATGGACATATACAGGGTGCCTTTGCATTCTACAGTGCTTTTGAACTCGACACCGTACGTGGTTTACCGGGCATTTGGAGCAGAAGAAACATTTGAAAAGGTAGCAGCTGCAGTAGGAGCCACCGCAGTGCCCGTTACTGGTGCTATGTCATCTGCAGCAGCAAGTACCAGTATACCTCACCCAACAACCTCTGGTTCTAAGGTCCACAGTCCTGAGAAGACAGCTTTGCAAGAAGCTAAGGAGGCCACTGCACTCTTAGGGACGGAGTCAGGAATCGTTGCGGCACCAATGAGGTTCATCAAGATGCCATCAATGATGGTGCGCAATGTGTCGAACATGTTGCCGTTTCGAAGGCGAGAGACTGTTCTACCTGTTGAAGGTGTGAAGGAGCTTCGAGCACTCGTACACAGCATCTTGGAACGGGAGGAGGATGAGACCTTGAGGGTGAGTCACACAACGTTTCCAGCCAAGGGTTTTCCCTCTTTGTGCTCTCTCTACCCTTTATCGGTCTCTCCCAAGATTTCTCATTCGACTTTTTAAGTTTTCATAGATTACTGGACTACATGTCCTTCGAGACATCTTTTAAAGTTAGAACGAACAGAGAAGATTAGCATGGCCCCTGCACAAGCATGACACATACATTGAGAAATGGTCCAAATTATATGTATAAAAAAGGATTACGAATTTACTAGACTACATGACTCGGGTGTGCACAGAGGTTTGTCCCGGCTGAAGAATTTATTTGACATTGGACGATGGCTGATTCCAGAATTATTTAACATCACAACAGGACGACATTGTCACCTTGGAGATCCTGTGCTATGCGCTGCAAAAGCTGAGTGTATTCTGCACATGCCTGGGTGAACTATTCCCACATCATGTGCTTCACCCCATCATCAGAGCCCTTCCCATACACAGCCCTTCTCCAGCCAGATGCGTCAGAAGCAGGACGACTCCTAAGGTTTACACCACTTGCGCCTCACCAAATCTCAAGAAGAACACTTTTCCTCGCGATCTGGAGGTAGTTAAACGCGTAGATATGCTACTTGCTTGTGTTGCTGACTCGACCTGATTCCTCTCAAGGGCAGAGAACTGCTGATGATGCCCTTTGATAGCCGGTCAAGGTCGAGGAGCTAAAAGACGACTCGTCAAATAGGTGATGCTCGCCAAGTACGGCCTCGGGCAATGCAATTACCGATAGATAGTGCCATCCCTCGCCAATGCTTCCTTCTTAGTTCCGTCCATCCATCCTCGACCTTGCGGATGAGACGTCCAACTGGCAACAAATTCAATGCACTGGCGGTCAATCTTGGTAACGGCACCAAACATCCTTATTCACCAGTAGGACAGTGATGTTAAGAGGAACTTCTCTGATAGCAATTTGTGAGGAACCTGCCCATGAGAAACTCAATTCATGGCCAACATTGACTCACACTTATCAGCATGCATGAGTAGACCAAACCAAAAGCAAAATTGAACACAACAAAATCACACTGATACGAGATGACACACAACGTTGAAATCTCTTGATTATGAAAGCCCTCTTCTCGCCTCCATCCTGTCAATACAGCAACAGAGACTCAGGTGTGATGGCCCTTCACTGCCGCCTATCCTGGCCTATCTAACTCATCTGCCATGTCGTTGGCCCTGTTCCCCTCCTGCCGATGACCGCTTGCTGACCGACAGTCAAGTCTATGCAAACTTTTCCGAAGACCTTCCTGACTGGCCCAAGGACCACGTCTGTCCGATCACCACCCCTATTACCAACCCTATTATGCAAGGGACTTCCCCAGCGCGTACGGCTATGGCGCTGGCGACTGCATGGTTGTCTTCCTCCTGCTCCTCGCGCGTCTGGACAGCCCAGGGCCTCACACTTCCCTACTTGTTCCGAGGGATATGTATGGTTTCATCTGGGTTAAGCTGCAGTAAATCCACCCATCTCGTTTTCACTTTGGGGATGGGATGTGACGAGGCTGAGGCAGAGGCAAGGCAACGAGGCTGGGAGAGAGAGGGAGAGAGTGAGAGCACACACACACACTCACTCAACTCGACACAGACTCGACACGACTCGACGGACGCAGACACGAAGTGGCAAAGTCGCAGAGGCAAAGTCTTGGATTTCCGAACACAATGTCGAGGCAAGTCACACCGAAGCACAAGCACTGAGGCCGCAAACTGAATGCCCATACTGGGCTTGGGTCCGATCTTAAGTATCAGACTCAAGTTCAGTCCGATGGGCAGAAGTGCAATTTGCCCAGGGCTGAACTGAATATCGAAAGTTTGAAAATGGACGCCAGAATGCTGGATGGCGCCAAGTGTCCGAAATCAGAAAAATAAAACAAAGAGAAAAATAAAAATAAGAAAACAAAGGAAAGAAAATGCATGCAGTGAACTGCGGGTAGCGTCCCGCAGACCAGGGATCGAGCCGTGGTGTAGTCCGTCACACTATCCCCTCCCTCTAGAAGGCAACGTCCCGGCTGCCAAAAATCATGAAGCAATTCTGAAATCTGTGAAGGACAGGACGGGGCCGATCACTGGTTAACAAGTCGAAAGGGAAGAGGGGTATAATGTGGGTGGCATGGGCTGCGGCAGTAAGAGGGAACAGGGTTTGGTACCGGTGAACAGGGTTGTCCTACTGATGAACTAGGGGGGGTTGCAGGGAACAGGGTAGTCCTACAAGTGAACTAAAGGGACAGCAGGGAGCAGGGTAGTCCTACTGATGGATGAACTATGGGGACTGCATGGTTTGCTATAGGTTAAGGCGGAATAAAGTTCAGGGAACAGGGAACTTCTATTGATGTTCTACTGGGTAAGGGAAACGGTGTTCAGGAAAACCGGGTATTGCTAATGATGTTCTACAGGGTTGTCAAAATCGGGAAGATGAAAAAAAAAAATGAAAATGTGTTCAGGATGCAAGGGCTGGTTGTGTCCGAAGAAGCAACATCTCATGTGGGAACAAAGTGTCCGAGTGTCTTGAAAGGAGGTCTGCAGCGGTCTTGATCAGGTTTTGGAGTAGATGGTGGAAGCGGTCTTCAGTGGCTGCAACGGGTAGAAGTCCAAGAAGCGTAGCAGTAGTCCACATGTCCAAAGTCCAAGTGCTAGGGTGCGTCCGGTACATGAACTGCAATGAGGTCTGATCTGGAGGTCTGATCTGGAAGCAGGTAAGTCGCAGACTGATGCAAGTTTCCATGTCGCAAGTTGCTGCTCCAGTAAGTCTGCGAGCCGGGTGCCGGCCGATGAAACAGCATGGTGGCCAAACCAGCTGCATAATCTCCATGAACAGTGAGGCAGCAGGCCACCGTCCTCGTGCGCTTGCCATTAGATCCTTTATCGCCGGCGTCACTCAGGCCCACAAGCATTGGACAAGAGAGACAATGTATTGGAGAGGACAGATGGGACAAGGCTTGGCGAGGGTAGGGGCAGAGCAGACATCAGGAATCAGGGTCAAGGGGAGGGTGGCTGGGTTCAAGGGTGTGTGTAGCGCAGGGTTGTGAGGGTTTAGCGGGGGTTTATGCCATAGTTATATAGGTATCTAGGACATAGGATTAGCACGATCATAGGCGCGGACAAGTTTCACGACGTTCTTAAGATTGGAGAGAGGTTCCCATGTAGATTCTTCGTCGGGGTATCCGGTCCATTTGACTTTGTATTCAGTGATTGGTTCCGGATGATCAAATACCTGAGTGGTTCGTCGGCTGATGATGGTTTCGACAACGAATTCAGGGCCTGTGGGTAGCATGATTGGTGGAGGTCTAGGATATGGGCGGTCGGCGAACTGGGGCGGGGATTCATGGTATTCTTTTAGGTACTCGACATGGAAGACTGGGTGGACACGACTCATGTCAGGGGGAAGTTGGAGTTTGTAGTTGACGGGGGAGGTTTGTTCAATGATGGGGAAGGGACCGAGCCATTTGTTGGAGAGTTTCTTGGACAAGCCGTGTTCGGGTTCAAAGCATTTGGCAGAGAGGTTCGTTCAATGGCTTCGGAGGCTTCTTTCAGGAGTCTGTTCATTGTTGCTACCCATTCATTGAGAGAGGGGCAGGGGGTGGATGGGTTAAGCTGCGAAGGAAGCAAGAAGTTAGAGGGCAAGCGAGGGTGGTAGTCAAGGTTGAGGTAGAATGGAGACATGCCGGTGGAAGGGCAAACAACATTGTTGTAGGCAATCTCGGCGGCTGTGAGCAACTGATCCCAATCGTGTTGGTGTGGATGACAATACTTCCGCATGATTCTTTGGAGAGTATCGTTCATCTTCTCTGTTTGTCCATCAGTCTGTGGGTGGAATGCAGTGCTATACTGGTCGTAAAGAGGTGTTTCTAGAATTGTGAGAGGAAGCGAGGATCACGGTCACTGATGATGTTCTCGGAGAGGCCGTGATGACGAGCAACATGGTCGAAGAAGAGTGTGGCGACGTCTTTGGCACTGTGCGAGGTTGTGCAAGGGATGAAGTGGGCACGTTTGGTCAAGCAGCAGACAATGACGTAGAGGCAATCATGCCTGCGATCGGTCTTGTGGAGGCCGCACACGAAGTCCATGGAGATGGACTGCCACCGGTGAGTTGGGATGGGCAATGATTGGAGCTTGCCGGGTTTGGCGCGGTTCGAGCGGTTGATAGCTTGACACGTGGGGCATGAGCGAATGTATGCTTTGACGTGATGAGCATGGAAGACCAGTAGGAGTAGCGGGAGATGGTGTCGAAGGTTTTATGGAAACCGAGATGTCCTGCAGTCTTGGCGTCGTGGTGCCCGGCCAAGAGCCGAGTACGGAGGCCTCGTGCGTCGGGGATGCAAAGTCGGCGAGTGCCTTTGGTATCGATGTAGAGGAGGTTGTTGTGGAGGGAGTATTCAGGAACTGGGTCAAGATCGCGGAGCTTGTTGTAAATGGTGCCTAAGTCTGAGCAGGAGAGATAGCCTTGGGTGTATCGATGATGAAGTGATGGGGGGAGCTGGATATGAGTCACGTTGGCGTAGAGTTTTTCGGGGGGCTTGTGGTCGGGTCGGTGAGAGAGGGCATCAACGACGCGGTTGCTTTTGTCGGGGGTATGGCAAATAGTGAACGTGAACTGGGCGAGGAAGTCTAACCAGTGGGCTTGGCGTGGCGTGATGTCTTTCTTGGAAAGGATGGAGGAGACGATGGTGTTGTCAGTGCAGATGGTGAAGTATTGCCCGTCGAGGTACGGGCGCCAGACTTTGAGGGTGTGGATCACGACGAGAAGTTCCTTCTCGTTGGTGGGGTAATTCATCTCCGCGGGAAGAAGCTTCTTGGTAGCGAAGGCGATGGGGTATTCGCCTGGTGGAGCCTCGGGGTGAGTGGGGGAGTTCTTGATGGAGGAGGTGTCGGCAGTGTCACGACGGAAATGTTAGGACAGTATGGCTCCAATGGCGAAGTCGGAGGCGTCAGTGGTGACATAGAAGTGGCGGGGGGGGGCGGCGATCTTGAGGACGGGAGCCGTGGTGATGGTTTGTTTGAGTAGATCGAAGGCGTGCTGGCGGCGATCGTTCCAGTGAAGGGCTCGTCATTGCGTGTGAGTTCGTGGAGGAGGTAAGAGATCTCGAAAAAGTTGCGAATGAACGGGCGATAGTAGTTGGCGAGGCCAAGAAAGAAACGAAGTTGGAGAAGGGTCTTGGGTGGGGGGTATTCGACGAGGGTTGTGACCTTCGAGGGATCCATACTGATGCCTTCAGCGGAGACAATGTGGCCGAGGTATTCGACGCTCAAAGCAGCAAACATACATTTGTTGAGCTTGGCATAAAATTTTTGCTCTCGGAGGATCGAGAGGACTTGGCGGAGGTGCTGAAGGTGGGACTCGAAGGTGGGGCTGAAGACAAGGATGTCATCAAGGTAGACGACGACACAGACTTCGAGGAGGTTGCGGAAGATGTGGTTCATGGTAGATTGGAAGGTAGCGGGGGCATTGGTGAGTCCAAATGGCATCACGAGGCACTCGTAGTGCCCGAACCGAGAGCGGAAGGCGATCTTGTGGGTGTCCTCCTCGCGGATACGGATCTGGTGGCACTACGAAGGTCGATCTTGGTAAAGTACTTGGCGCCACGGAGACGATCAAGGAGCTCGAAAATCTGAGGTAGGGGGTACTTGTTCTTGATCATGATCCGGTTCAAGGCCCGGTTGTCTATGCACATGCGGAGTTCCGAAGTTCCACCTTTCTTGACGAAAAGGCAGCTGGTTCCGAAGGGGGATGAACTTGGCTCAATGAACCTTTTTCAAGGAGTTCACTGAGTTGCCACTTCATTTCTTCGGCTTCGGGGACAGAGAGTTGGTATGAAGGGTGGCAAGGTGGAGAATGTCCGGGCTCCAAATCGATGGTATGGGATACGCCTCGATCCAGAGGTAGTTCAACGGGTAAGGACTCAGGAAAGACGTCCTTGAACTCGTCGAGGATTGAGGTGATGGCGGGGTCGGAGGGGGGGCCTTGATCGGGTTTGTCCGTCGGGAGTAAGTCCTCAAGACGTTCGCGATCAAGGACAAGACAATAGTAGGTGGAGTCGGCGCTCAGGCGAGCCAGGTGGAGGAATTGGTGCGCGGTGACGGAGCCTTGGGAGGTTGGATATGGGAGATAGGGGACGTCGATGGTTGTATCGGGAGGGTTGGTAACGCGAAGGAAGTTGGGGTGGAACATTGCACTAATATCGGAGCTGGAACCCGTTGCACTGCGGTGGTGGAAGAAAGCCGGCAAGACATAAGGCCAGCGGGTGTGTGTTTGTCGGGGTTTCACTGTAGCAGGCGAGAAGAAAGAAAAAGGTGTTAGGGTACACTGGTCCTTCAGCAGCACAAAGGCCAAACTATGAGTACTTAACCTTAATCCTGTAATGGGGTATCTGGGATGCTGGACCCGTTTCCCAGCAGGTGCAAAGAAGAAAGAAAAAGGTGTTAGGGTACACTGGTCCTTCAACATCACAAAGGCCAAACTATGAGTACTTAATCCTGTAATGGGGTATCTGGGATGCTGGACCCGGTTTCCAGCAGGTGCAGCTCCCCACCGATAGACGGAGCCTTCAAACCAAAAAAAGGGGAATAGGATATAAAGAGTACGTAGGGTATATAGGAGGGCTGCTGAAATAAGGGTTGGGTTAATAGATAAGGGGAGCTCCTAAAAAAAGGGAAGGGCGACACTTGCAGCTCCAAGGGATGCTGGAGCCCCAAGATGAGACAGTAAGAACCACAGCCCCAGGAAACAACAAACCCTCATGTCGGGGCCATACGATGTTTTGATGGGACGCTGGACCCGGTTTCCAGCAGGTGTCGCTCCCCACCAATAGATGGAGCAGCCCGACAGGTAAGCCCTCAATTGTGACGGTTCTCTTACCACCGCCATGATAGAGGGATATCGCAAGGGCTATTCTCAAAAAAAAAAAAAAAAAAGAGAGAGAAAAAGGTGTTGAATTAAGATTGGTGTGGGATCTACGCACCTGCAGCAGACCAAGATCGGTGGGGAGCAGCATCGTGAAGACCCAAGTTAAGTGCTTTCTGTCCTCAGCCCTGCCTGTTGAATCTTTTTGCTGTTTTTTGTGAAAATTCCACGTACTTTCTTGGTGATGGCTGCTGCTGCTCGAGTACTGTAGACGTCATCCCGCCAAGTTCGAGTTAGACCCCGATTCAAACAAATAAGTGTTGAGATTAGGAGTTTGAAGGATAAGTCTACGTGGTGAGGAGATGGAGCACACTTACCGTCGTACTGACATCTCGCCATGGATGATTACCCAATGTTTGCACTCCTCTTTCTGTCCGTCATATGGCGGCCCCTTTTGCAATTTATTTTTCCGTTGGGATTCCACCGGACCACTAGGATGACCGTGGTCACAAAGTCCGGCAAAGTCACTGAGCCATACACAGCGGAGGAGCGGCCAGAAATAGATCGGCAGTTGGAAGAGGAGGAGGAGAAAGCAAAGAAGATGGAGGAAGAGTTGAAGAAGAAGATGGAGGAAGAGAAGAGGAAGGTAAAAGAAGAGATGCGGAAGCATTTGGAAGAAGAAAAGAAGAAGATTGAAGAAGAAGAGGAGAAGTTGGAGTTGTGTGCAGGCCGGAGAAGAGAGTATGGTGGAGTATGTGCTTCCCAGGGTAAAAGAAGCAGGATGCACTTATGAGTCCACCCTGAAATTAGATAAAGAGGATGCTGCAGTCTGGGCCGCTCATTTTGACTTTGAGCCGGAGCGGCCTGAAGATGAAACGAAGGAGGAAATCGAGGCATTTGAAGTGCAGCTGCAACTAGTTGATGAAGAGGAGAGGGCAATAATGATAGAAGAGAGGGAGGTGCTGATCAAAACAAGGCTGGCTGCACAGAAAAAGAGTGAATATAAAGAGAAAAAGAGATTGAAGGTGGGAGAAGCGTTGCGAAGGAGGCTGGAAGCACAAAAAGACCAACGACAAGACACGGACAAAAGATTCACCCTCCTCACAGACGTTGTGCTCCATTCCACACAGGAGACCGCTGCGCTCCGAAGAACCGTTGAGAGGATGGAGGCGGTGTACGAAGAGATGAAGGGCAAGTGGCGGCATTTTGCAGTGGCTGCCTTCAATAGGATCAATGAGAGGACAGCCACTTACGCAGTCCAGCTAGAGGAGCTGGCTGCAAATAAGATAGCCCGTACCATCACCGAAGAGAGGGCCCTGAGCGGAAATGGAAAGGTCATGGGAGGAGGAAAGTCGATCAAGAGGAAGAAGATCAAAGTGAAGCTCCCTAACACATATTTTGGGAAGAGAGGAAAATTTTGATCGTTGGGAGTCGACAGTCCAATCGTACACATACGCCCAATGTATCCCGGATGAAGACAAAGTTTTGATGGCTCATTTGTGTCTAGGAGGCGCTGCTGCGAATTTCGCATTGTCGTTGGCTAACACAGCAGGCTGCGATCGTGATATGGTGGCTTACTCGAAGAGAACCACTCTCCGTACCTTCCTAGATGCGCTGCGCAACCGCTTCGAAGACAAGACTAAAGCCATGAGGACCGCTGACAAGCTTAACAGCATCCATCTTCGAAAATGGAAGAGTGTGTCGGCCTTGAATGCCACAATGGATGAGCTGTTACAGATCCCAAATCATGGACTGACTCCTGAGCAGATTTTGAACAACTTTGCTAGAGCTCTCCCCGATCCCATCAAGAGCAATCTCTATGCTAAGGTCAAGGAGGATGGGATGACCTACGACCAATTTAGCGGATTTCTCGAAGAGTCAAACTGTCATTTGTACAAAGACTTGGAGAAAAGAAAGCATTGGAAAGGTAAGACTATTGCGGGAAGTATTACGGGCAAGGACAATCTAGTAGTGATGTTTGAAGGAGGAGGTTGTGAGGCCCTAACTTATGATCAAATTGAGTATGGATTGGGTGAGGACAGTGGTGAAGTCCAGGGAGGTGATTTCGCTGCTGTAGTCCGCGGGGGACGACAAGGAGGAAGAGGCGGCTGAGGTAGAGGAGGCCGTGGTTGGGGTGGAAGAGGACGTGGCTATCAGGGGGAGTGCAACAATGAAGGCTATGCAGAGGGAGGTAGGGGTTATGGACCCTCACAAGGTAGCACCGGCCGAGCCCCCCAACATCAAGGCGGGGGTAGAGGAAATTACAACCTCGCCAACAATGGCAATGCAGGCGGCAAAGGAAGGGCACCGCAAAAATATCCATGGCGCCTTGGACCTCCAGAGGGGGAACCATGGAAGGAATTGAATATGACATACGAATTTGTGTGCCAAGAGACTCAAAGAGGGGAACTGCATCAAATGTGGAGAGGCAGGCCATATAATCCCTTGGTGCCCCGAGTTCTGGTCGTCGTCCAAAAGGCAACAGCCGGTAGGAGTGGCAGCTGCTCCTGATGGGGCCTTGGGTGCATCACAAGAAGCGCGCACTGCAAGAGAAACCTCCAACCGGAGGACCCCGACAACTAAGGCGGATGTAGGCCCCCACCTAGATAGCTGTCTAGAGACTGTTTGTGCTAGGGTCTCTCTAGGTGGCTCTCTCGCAAGCATTGGTGATGAGATGATCACTTGTCGCCCCGCCTAGGCTGAAATGAAGAAGAGAAGAGGGCAGCTGATTTTGGCAGATGTAGAGATTAGCCAAACACGAGTGGGAGCTTTAGTGGATAGTGGCTCTACACGTAGTTTCATTAGTAGAAGAGGACTGAAGAAGTTGCACTTAGGAATGAAAGTGCAGAGGTTGAGTGAGCCGGTAGTGAGTAGACTGGCCGACAATCACGAGATGCGAGTGGAGGAGTACGTCGAGGGGATCAAGGCATACTTCCAGTTAGAGGAGGGAAAAAAGGTAGAGAAGGTTTTGCATTTCCTTACCCTCTTAGTGGAGGACAACCTTCCCTTTGACTTGATTTTAGGGACTAACTGGGAAGAAGCAGCCATGGCAGACGTCAAGTTGGGCGAGCATGAGTGCTCGCTGACTAGCCCCAACCGGGGCAAGAAGAAGATAAGGTTGTTCCACAAGTTCGGTCTAGAGTCCCGCTTGTCTGTTTGTTGTATGAGTGCCCCTGCGTTCGCCCGACTCGTGACAAAGGAGAAGCTGCAAGCTCAGGTCTTTGTGGCCTATGTGAAACCGGTGAGGGAAGAGAGTAAAGGCGAAGAGAAGACACCTCCCCAAGTGGAGAACCTGCTCCAAGAGTTTGCTGATGTGGGAGAAGCCCCAAGCGGAGCGGTAGAGTGGGAGATCAAGCACCGGATTGAGATAGAACCTGGTAGCAAGATTCCTAGGGGCCCGGTTTATAGGATGTCTCCCAAGGAACTTGATGAACTGTGCATGCAGCTAGATGAGATGATTGAGAAGGGGTGGGTACAGCCCAGTTCATCACCGTACGGTGCACCAGTTTTGTTTGTGCCAAAGAAAGAGGGTGAACTGCGATTGTGCATTGATTACCGGGGATTGAATGCTATCACAATTAAGAATGTTGAACTGTTGCCCCGGATTGATGATTTGTTAGAGAGGGTGCAAGGATGTAAGTATTTCTCCAAGATTGATCTGAAGTCCGGGTACCACCAGATTGAGGTACAGTCGGAGGACCAGCACAAGACGACCTTTAGGACTCGCTATGGACGCTACGAGTTTGTAGTGATGCCATTCGGATTGACTAATGCCCCTGCAACATTCCAAAGATGCATGAATGATTTGTTTAGAGATTGGTTGGACAAACTTGTTGTCGTTTACTTAGATGATATTCTGACTTTTAGCAAGAGTTTGGTAGAGGATCAGACTCATCTGCGTCAGATCTTGACTAAGTTGCATGAGTCTAACTTCAAGATCAACCTGAAGAAGTGTGAGTGAGCTAAACGCCAAGTCCTGTATTTGGGACACGTGGTAGATGGAGATGGAGTCAGACTGGAGGACGCCAAGATAGCAGCAATTTGTGACTGGCCAACCCCGCACACGCTGACTGAGTTGCGGTCGTTCTTAGGATTGGCCAACTACTACCGGAAGTTCGTTCGTAACTTCACTTCCATTGCTGCTCCCTTGCACAGGCTGCTATGGAAGGAAACCGTTTGGAATTGGGACAAGGACTGTACATCAGCCTTCAAGAAGTTGAAGAAGTCCCTCATTGGGTACCCGGTCCTCAAAGTAGCAGATCCATCCTTACCGTTTGTTGTAACTACCGATGCTAGCTTGTATGGCATTGGCGCTGTTCTCCAACAGAATGATGGAGAGGGGTACAGGCCCGTTGATTTTGTTTTGTAGGCTCCCTAGTGATAAGGTAGCAGCCTCGACTTATGAGCGTGAGCTCTTCGCCCTTCAACATGCTCTGGACCATTGGCGGCATTACCTGCTAGGCGACACTTGAAAGGTATATTCAGATCATGAGACTTTGCGTTGGTTGAAGACCCAGACTCGGATGACTCCTAAGTTAACTAGGTGGGCTGGGGAAATTGATCAGTTTGATTTTGAGTTGAAACCAGTCAAGGGTAAGTACAACGTCGTCGCTGATGCATCGAGTAGATGTGCAAATTTCTTTGGTGCAATTGTGACTTTCCTAGATGCTGGCGCAGATCTGCAGCAAAAGATTAAGGCTGCATATGTTGATGACTGCGTGTATAGTACGTTGATAAAGAAGGTGCAGACCACACCTAAAGAAGTGCCTGATTTCATAATGGCCGATGGATTGCTGTTTGAGAAGACTGATGTGCATGATAGGCTTTGCATACCGTGTATTGAAGAGGTACGCAGTTTGATCCTAGGGGAATGCCACGATACTGAAGGCCACTTTGGTTGGCGGGAGACCTATGCTACCCTACTTAGATCCTACACGTGGCCAGGCATGAAGCATGATTGCATCACCTACATCCAAGGCTGCCAAGTCTGTCAGCGGAACAGGAGTTCCATGCAGCCTCCCCTTGGACTGTTGAAGCCCCTGCCTATTCCATCCGGCCCCGGTGAATTTGTATCTACCGATTTTATGGACACTAAGGTCAAGAGTAGTAGTGGGAAGAGTCGGCATGTTTAGTCGGGCGGCCGTTAGGTCACCAAGTCATGGTCATAGTTGACAGGTTTAGTAAGTTTGCCGTTTTTGTACCATTACCCGCTGTTGAGCATAGTTGTGATCGAGATACCCGGTTTACAGGGGAACAGTGGCAGCAGTTAATGAAGGTCTACGGATCTAAGTTAGCTATGTCATCTGGACGCCACCCTCAGGCAAATGGCCAGACTGAGCAGACTACAGCAAGTACTGCATATGTATATAAGACTAGACCAGGTAAGTTGGGATGAGCATCATCCCAAGTAGCTAGTGCATATAAGAACTCGGTTCACCTAGCTACCTCGCGGACCCCGAATGAGCTACATAGAGGCTGGAGTTCCCGACGTCCCATAGATTGTATGAATCCGGATCAGATTCAAAGGTTGTCACCTGGCACACGTGAGTTTGCCATTCAGTATGAGAAGGATTTGCAACATTTGGCTGAGAACACCAGTAAGGCCCAGCATCAGATGATGGAACAACGTAGAAACAGCAGAATATAACCTAACCCGCAATCCGAGCTCTCCAATGTACGAAAACTTACTCTCTTCGGCAAAGGAAGAACTGGCCCAATGGGCAGACTGGAAGAGAAGGGCCCTGAGCATCAGAGCAAGGATAAAAGACTGGGAGAGTAACGAATCAATGACAAATTTTTTTTTTCAAAGAATCAAATCCAACTGCAGAAACAACAGGATCCTAGAACTGAGGGATGAAGGGGGAACCCTCAAAAACCAACACAAAGAACTCCTACAAATAGCCACTAACTTCTACAAAAAATTATATACATCACAGTCAACAGGAGAAAATAGTGGAGCTATCATGAGGGCGAGGGAAAAGTTCTTGAAACACCTTGACACCTGCATCAAACCTTTTTCGGAATGTGTCTCACCTGCACATTCCGGGCCCACGACATTCCAACCTTTTTTGGTGACCCCAATGAGGATGTCTCTCTCTTTCTCAGTCAACTCCAACAAGCTTTCTATCTCCACACCGTCCTGTCGTCCACTGGCTACCCACCTCACCAACGCCACCAGCTGGTGGCTCACCGAAGTTGCCAACCGCCAACTCAGCGGCCAGCGCTCGTACTCCTTCCTTGAGTGGGCTACATTGATCACAGCGACCTTCCGCCCACAAAAATCCGTCGATGATTACATCGACCAATGTTGTCGCCTTCGCCCAAACGGCCCCACTAACCGCTACGTCCAATATGTCTGCTCACTAAGACAACATATCCCCGTCCACCTAATCGTCGACGACAATTTCATCTCCCGCCTCAAGTGGGTCTCCAACCGCGAAATCACCGCCGCCCTCGTCCATGAGCCCACCACAACCTTATCCGATCTTCTCTCCCGCATTCTCCACATCGACTGTCTCCTCCCAACTCACAAGGTCACCATCCCCGCCGTCCCTTCCCGAACACGTTTCTTCCACAGCATTGCTTCCGACAACACCCTCACCACCACGATGTCGGATGAGTTCTCCACACCCGACCCCGACACTGAGGCCACTTCTATCGACCCCCCGTCTTTCACCCAGGAAGAAGTCAACACCATCCATCTCCTCCGGATGGAGCGCAGGAACCGCCAGGCTCGCACATCTTCTTCCACCTCGCCCCTCGTTGAACGAAGCTCACCCCGGAGGAACGTGCCTACCTCCAAACCAACAATGGCTATTTCCGGTGTCGTCAATTGGGCCACCAGCAAACCAGCTTCCCCAACGCTTGCCAGTTCACCCGACAGGCTCCCCACTCCACGGGATCTCGGCCCGTAGTATCCGCTACCCCACCATCCGCAACATTGGGACCCTCCCACACATGAACACCGTCCCCTTGCCTATCGGGACCCCGCCTCAGCATTGACAATTATTCAACCGGACCCTTTATTGGCATTGACGATCCATCGGCCACCCCCATCGGATGACACTCGGGCGTCGCAGTTTACTCTACCTGCCCCCCTCCCAACAACATCCCTCACCCTGTCGGTCGAGCTCATCACTGGCACGTGTTCCTCTACCCTTCTCCCTAACCCCTCTTACATCACCTTCTCCGATGTTTTTGAGGAACAAGCTCGGCACGGCCGGCTTGTTAGATTAGGCACCGAACAACGCCGCCTCAACAACATGATCTCCGCTGCTTGTGTCGGAACCGCCCAGCTCCAGCTCAAGTTCATATCCATCTCCCTCGGCACATCGACAGTGAAGTTCCTAGACCCTCTCGACGGCGGGGCTAACGACAACCTTATTATTGACGCCTATGTCCGCAAAGCCAGTCCCCCCTCAACCGGCTCTGACTTTTCGATCACCATTCGCTTAGGGGACAAGGACTCCGCCGTCACCGTCGATCGTATAGTTCCCGAGGTCACCATACCTGTCGGCTCCCTCCGCAATCAGATCTCCTTCGACGTCATGCACCTCATATGCAACGTCGTCTTGGGAACTATTTGGATTGATCGCTACATGCCCTACTCTTTCTATCCCTCTTTTGTCGAACTCTCTTCTACTCCGAACTCTACCCTTGACATCCCTTACCTTCTTCCCCTTACCACCCCACCCCTCGGCTCCCTCCACCAATTCCTCCACATGTCTCGCCAACACCCTGACTCCACCTACTATTGCCTCGTCATCGACCGCAAGCGTCCTGAGGACTTGATTCCAACGGACAAACCCGACCAAGCCCCCCCACCCGACCCTCGCATCACCTCTCTCCTCTCAGAAGTCAAGGATGTCTTCCCCGAGTCCTTGCCTGGTGGCTTGCCACCCTATCGCGGTGTATCTCACACCATCGACCTTAACCCGGCCATTCTCCTCCTTGCCGCCCTCCGTACCAACTCTCTGTCCCCGAGGCCGAAGAGATGAATCGCCAGCTCAACGAACTCCTTGAAAAAGGATTCATTAAGCCTAGCTCATCCCCCTTTGGAACCAGCTGTCTCTTCGTCAAAAAGGACGACACCTTGGAGCTCCGCATGTGCACAGACTACCGCGCCTTGAACCGGATCACAATTCCCAGTCCACCATGAACCACATCTTCTGCGATCTCCTCGAAGTCTATGTCGTGACCTACCTCGACGACATCCTTATCTTCACTCCCACCTTCGAGTCCCACCTTCAGCACATCAAGAAGGTACTTTCCATCCTCTGCGAGCAAAAGTTTTACACTAAGCTTAGCAAATGCACTTTTGTCGCCTCGAGCGTGGACTACCTTGGCTACGTTGTCTCTGCTGATGGCATCCGCATGGACCCCTCGAAGGTTGCCACTCTCGTCGAGTTCCCACCTCCCAACCTTGCTTCAACTTCGGTCATTCATTGGACTCGCTAGCTACTACCGCCCCTTCATCCAAAACTTCTCCGACACCGCCTATCCACTCCATGAGCTCACCCACGCTCACAACTCCTCAATCAAAAGAGGACACTCAAGTCGGACTCACTTCATCACGGTAAGAAGAGATTGAGAGGGAAGATAAGGTAAGCGAACAACGCACCTGAAGATAGCTGCCCTCAACCACAAATTTCTCACCAATTGAGCCAACGTGCATTTCGATGACCGGTCGTAGCCTCGGTACCACCCACAACACAATGCAGTGCCACCTCAGCCAAAATGCCACATCAGCATACTCTCAACATCACACATATATCCATCGTCGCAACAGCTCCCACTCTTTGCCACAGCCTTCCGGCCAACTCCCCTCTACATGGAAGTGGTTGTTCATGCCAGTGCCAGTGTATCCTTAGAAGCATCGTCAGCGCACCAAGTAACAATGTCACCAGCACCAAGTAATGGCGATCTCGAACCTCGCTCTGGTACCAAATTGCAA